CGTCATCGGCTGCGCTGGGCACCCCGCGGGCAAATACATGTCCGTGTGCAATAGGATGCGTAAGATATTTCGCCAGACACCTCTGCAAGCAACCAAGTCGCTCGTTGCACCAGAGGCTATGCCATAGGTTGCGCTATGTACTGCACCAGGCACCCCGCGAGCAACAGCATCATCAGCTGCCCCAGTGTGTGCTCCATAGGTTGCGACATGTGTTGCTCAAGAGTTTGCATCAGACGGTCCCTTGCAGCAAAACCGTCCGCTGCCCCAGTGGACTGTCGTGGGTTTCGCAAACAGCCTCCCAAGAACCCCCCGGCAACCACACCGTCTGTTGCCCCAGTGAGTGCGCCATAGGTTGCACAGTAGGTTGCGCCAGATGCCCCTGGGGCAGCTCAATCTTCCGTTGTCCCAGTGGGTGCGCCATAGGTTCTGCCAAAGGTTGTGCCAGGTCCCCGCGGGCAACATAATCGTCCGGCGCCCCTGCCACATGTTGCGCCAGACACCCTTGGAGGCAACCGAGTCGTACGTCGGCCCACTGGGTGTGCCACAGGCTGCGCCACAGGTCGCACCAGACGCCCTGCGGGCAACCACGTCGTCCGTTGCCCTAGTCGCTGGCCTGGCGCTGCTCCGCAGCGAGCTGCGGGGCAGAATCGTTGTGGTGATGCGCAGGGTTCGAGGGTAGTTCACTCATCGTTGCGTGGCTGTTGCGGCTGATGGGGGAAGACGTCGCCCGCTGTCCCACAGGGCGTAGTACGTGGTAGTACTAGATAGGAGCCTTGTGGCATTCGCGGTTCAGAGAAATCCTGGTGGGGCGCAAGGGACCCAATGCCATAGCGCCAACATCGCAGAGCGGATTTCGTAAGGAAAATGATCGGATGGGCCCGGAGTGCCCTGGAGAATTTCGTTCCGGATTTCGAGGTGAATTTCGTGCGGATTCCAACACATCCACGCGAAAATAACTTAGTTTCTTATTCGCCGTTTCGGGGCTTTGCATTGACAGACGTCCGCGGAAAAATCCGCTGCAGCACGTCTGCAAGGTCGGTGCAGTGACCAATGGGCTTTCCCCATGACGCAACCTATGACGCTCAGAATTTCTAGGGTGACCACGAGCGCTACCCTTGACGCAAGATATAGTGCAACCGGTGGCGCAAGTCATAACACCCAGATTGTTCTCGGTGGACATTTCCACTCATTGCGATGGCACGTGATTGTTTCTGGCAGTCATTGGATACCATGAGCAGAACTGCATCCACACTCTCTCGGGTTGAGTCATCTTGCTTGCCCGTGTATCAGCTCGACCCTTTGCCCCGACTGTACTTGTGTGTGCGTGGCAGCCTCCAATATTCACGCGCGAATGTGTTCGCGCACGAATCGAGTGGCAACGACGTGCAAACTGTAGGAGGTATTGCCCTATTGTTTAGGGCTCTGCCTGTTCAGCGCAAGCAATCACTTTTTTGTGGAAGCACGTGGGTCGATTTGCGCCGCGTTCTAATGCTCGCGAGTCTTCGAACAAAGTGACTTAGACTCGTCGGGAAGCCCGATTTGCGGATCCTCTAATCGAGGACGCCGGCAGCGCATCACCGGCCGCTCCCTGGGAGTTTTGCGAAGAGGTGCGCAGCATCGAAAGTCGTGACGCGGCGCGTATGCCAGCTATCAAATAGCCGTCGCCCCATCCCGCCACCGTGCTTGGGTTTTGGGTCGGACGGAGTCCTCATGGACGCTTCGTGGGCTCTCTCGAGAGGGCTCTCGGAGGCTTCTGCGGGGCAGTTTAGGGGCCTCTTGGGGGCGTCCCAGGGGCTTCTTGGAGACCTCTTGAGGCCCTCTTGGGGCCTCTTGGGGCTCTCTTGGGGTTTGTTGGGGGCCTCCAGGGGGCCTCTTAGGGTCTCCTGGGGGCCTCTCGAGCCGAAAGCTCGACATGTTCATTCGGGTACCCCTTCTGGGCCTCCTCTTGGGGCCATCCTGGGACCCCTCTTGGGCCGTCCCGGGGGCCTCTTGGGCGGTCTTGGGGCCCTCTTGGGCCGTCTTGGGGCCGTCTTGGGGGCCTGTTGGGCCGTCCTGGGGCGATCTGGGGGGCCTCTTGGGCCGTCGTGGAGCGTGGGTAAGCCGAAATGGCGTGAACGTGTAAATCCTTCAAAAACCATTGAAAAATCAATGATTTTTGCTTCTCGGGGCTGTCTTGGGGGTGCTCTTGGAGCCCTCTGGGGCCGTCTTTGAGGCGTCTTGGGCCGTCTGGAGGCCATCTTAGGCGTCTTGGAGCGATCTGGAACCGTCTGGAGGCTCTCTTGGACTGCTCGGGACTCTCTTGGACCGGCTTGGGGCGCCCTTGGGTCGTCCCCGGGCCGTTTGAGACCTTGAAGGGGGCCGGCGGCAGAGTGGGGCCGGCGGCAGAGTGGGCCTCCTCGGACGGACTTTCAGGAGGTTTTTGACCAGGCACTGGAGAAGGGGGCCAAAGACTGCCAGACACTTTGTCCGAGAGGTCTCGCACGGTCTCGCCTTTCAGGGGCTTCCCGAGAGCTTGAGGGGAACCTCTTGGGGCGTTCCGGGGGGTTCTGGGAGGCTTCGTCGCGGGGGCCTCTGAGGATGTCGAGTGAGGGCTCTCGGGGGGCGTCTGCGGGGCAGTGTGCGGGCCTCTTGGGGGCCTCCTGGGGGCTTCTTGGGGACCTCTTGGAGCTCTCTTGGGGCCTCTTGGGAGCTTCCTGGGAGCCCCTGAGGCCCTCCTGAAGGCTTTTTGGGACTTGAAAGTCGGAATGTCCGTTGAGGTTCCCCCTCTGGGCCCTCTGTTGGAACCGTCCTGGGGCCCTCGTGGGCCGTCCCGGGGGCCTCTTGGGCTGTCTTGGTGCCCTCTTGGGCCGTCCTGGACCTCTCTTGGGGGGCTCTTCGGCCGTCTTAGGGCGGTCTTGGGGGCCTCGTGCGCCGTCTTGGAGCGTCTGGAAGCCCAAATTGCGGGAAGCCGAACAACTTTAAAAAAAAACCATAGAAAAATGAAAATGAATGAAATTTACATCTTGTGGCCCTGTCAGGGGTGCTGTCGGAGCCCTCTTGCGGCGTCTTGGAGGCGGCTTGGGCCGTCTGGAGACCATATTTAGCGTCTGGGAGCGATCTGGAGCCGTCTGGAGGCTCGCTTGGGCCGTCTTGGGGCTCTCTTGGCCCGTTTTAGGGCGCTCTTGAGTCGCCCCTGGGCGCCGGAACTGTTCAGGGAGGGGGGGTCCGCCGGCAGAGTGGGGCCCCCTCGGAGGGACTTTCAGGAGGGCTTTGACCAGCCACTGGCGAAGGAAGGGGAAAGATAGTGCCGAACACTTTGTCAGAGAGGTCTCGCACGGCCCACACCGCAGGGCGGGAGCGGCCAGATTTAAAGGCTGCCGCCTCTGCCGCCGACCCCAAAGAGAGTCTCGGGCTGTTTCGTGGGGGGATTCGCGCGGATGGCGCAACATTGCGCGTTGTGGGGTTCAGGATGCGCTCCACTTGTGTGCCGTAGTGGTGCTCTATTGGGTTGTGTTGGGTGCCTAGTCGGATGTCCCGGAGGTCTCTCCAGGCCGTTTCTGGCTACCGAGGGCCCTTCTAGGTCATCGTGGGTCCGTCGCGAAGGGACATGGAGTTCAGTACGTCGCGTGCCTTTCTGATTTGTTGATTGGGTTCTGCTAGTCCATCTGTGTGTATCGGATGAGCCTGATGGGCCTTCTTGTGGCGGCCTTGGATGCCTCTTTGGGCCGTGTTGGGTCTCTCTTGGGTGTTCACGGGTTTTTCCGCGGCTTCTTCGGGAGAACTCGTGCGCCGTGTTGGAGCGTCTGGGGTCCGACGCAAGGCAATGGTTGATGTTTTCGGAGGCGTCTTGGAGACATCTTCCATGCCTCTTCAGGCATCTCGTAGGCCGCAGTTCTGCAGCACTGTTGGCAGGATGGGAAGGTATTGTTTCGGGTTGGCGGCTTTTCGGGTGAGGGATGGGACTTTTCCTTCGAGGGGAAGAGGGGGCGTTGGAGTAGCGAACTCTTTAAGCCACATGCGCCCAAAGGGCTGGCGGGATTCTCCGTGCTCGAGGTTGTATTAGATTGTTTCTCCGTCTCCTGTTCTCATGTTTCCCCTCGCCACTGCTTCTTCTACCTCGCCTTCTCTTATGCGCCCTTCCCTCCTTCCTCCTTGCCCTTCCTCCCGTCATCCTGCCTGTTCGCTTTCTTCTCTCCTTCCTCGTTTTGTTCCTTCCCTCCCATCCCTCCCATTCTCGTGTTTGGGTCCCTCGACAATAAGAATTCCTTATTAAGGATTGCTCTTTGAGAATTCGCACTGTTTCTGCAGCGCCGGGTTCTCGCGCACTGGTGAATTTACAAGTTGCAGCATTTCTTTGTTGTGCGTGTTGCTGTCGTGATTATTTGGTTTTTGCATTGCACTCGCCAAATGCCATCACAGTGCCATTCGTGGTTCCAGGTGGCCCGTTGTGTTCGAGCCAAGCGTTTGGGACGAAGTTGCGTCACGCCCGAGTAAGCCACAAGCCATTATTTTCCCAATGTTCCTACTCTATGCTCATCTTGTGCCGTCCACACCGGCCTCCTGTCTCTATGTAGTGGTAGCCACGAGCATGGTGCACCTGCTCGGCGCTCCAGATTTCTTTTAGGAGTGACGCCCACAGGCGTCCACCATGACCAGGTGGATAGTAGTCGCCATCGCAAGAAAAATGGGTCATAAACGTTGCTGAGCATCAGTGTTGAGTGCCCGTGCAGTACCGATGTGTTTTCTGTCTTAATCATGGTTTCCACAGTTCGTTGCGTGTGCATGTGAGTGGTTGGCGAATGAAGTTGGGAAAGCGCGAGGCAAGTGTCGGTGACCTCAGCGTGTAGGCAAGGCTCATGGCGCTGCTCTTCATCTGTTGGCGCAGCAGGCGAAACCACATGTCACGGGTGCTATGGAAAGAATGAAATCGCTACGCTTGTGGTCCATTCGCCGTACCTCGCTCCGTCCTCCAGATGGAAAGGCTGTGCCTCGTCGCCAACCCTCCCGGCGATCGCTCGGAGAGCCTTTCAAAGACGATCAAGGCCGACGAGCGGCGTGGGAAGCGGCGCGCTTGCCCCGATGGCGGTCTTGCCGCTGGCCGCGCTGGCAGCGCCCGCCACGCCGCAGCAGCCCACGGTGCAGCTGCCCTGCGTGCTGCGGGGCAGGGCTCCGCTGGAGGATGGGCCGGGGATGACCTTGGGGGTCGGGCGAAGAGAACTATGCACATGCACCGGTCCTAGCCAGGCCCATCCTTGGCCCCAGGATCGGTGCATACGCCTTCCTGGCCAGGGCACGAGGGCGCATGCACCGCTCTGGGGCTCAGGACAGGCCCGACCCAAATCGGTGCATGTGCGTGGTTATTTGTCCCTTCAGGGGGCGGCTCCGAGACGTCATCGATTGCCATCGGCATTGTCGTCGGTCCGAGGGGGAAACTAAAACAAAAAAGAAAATCCTCTGGGGGGGTGGGGGGGGGCGGCAGGGGCGGGTCCGCGCACGCGTCGGCCCTGGAACCCCTGGGCCCGCTGGAGACGGGCCAGTCAGGAGGGGAAAAAACACACAGACACAATTCGTCGTCGATTCCCAGGAAAATATGGGAAAATATGGGAAGTGGGGGGGAGACAAAAACCCAGACCATATCGGAAAAGATGGGGCATCTTTTTATTTGTGTGTCTTTCCTTGTGTGTCCTGGGGCCCCTTGAGCCAGGGACGACTGCGCGGGGGCGGCCGCGGCGCTCCGGGACGCGCGTCGACCTCGGGGCGGGCCCCGGGCCCCTCGGGCCCGGGCGCCGCCTGCGAGAGGAGCAGCCCCGGGGGCAGAGGGCGCAGGCGCGGGCCCCCGGAGAGGCGCCCGGGCGCACGTCCCCCGCGGGCGGCGGCGCGGCCCCTTCGGAGGAGGGCGAGGGGAGGCTCCCGGCAGGTGGCCTTCGGGGGGGGCCCCGCGCCACCGCGGCGGGGCGCGGCTCGGAGAGCTCGGGGGCGGAGAAGAGGGGGGTGATGACTGGGGGGGGGGATGGATATCATGGCGGGGGCCATGATATTTCCCCAGATTTCATGGCGCCTCTTCTTATCTCATGACGCCCCTGGCCCCCCCGCTGGGCCGCGCACGTGCCGCCGGTCATGATTTGCACCCCCCCCCCTCTTGGACACCCCCCTCTTGGCCGCTCCCGAAAAGCTGATGCGTCTTGATCCCAGGAGAGGTCCGATGGGGCGGACTTTGAGCCGCCGCCGCCCCGGCTCGCCCTGGCGGGGCCGCGGTCGCTCCCACACCCGGGAGGCCTCCGGTGTGCGGCTCGGTGGCTCTGGACGCGAGTGGCTCTTCGGGGCGAGCGGCCCCTCGGGGCGAGCGGCTAACGTGCAGCTGTTCTCACAATGCCGGGAGTCGTTCGTACTACACGGGCGGATCGTTCTTGTGAGGCGAGGGGGTCCTTCGACCATCGCGTGGGCCGGCCTCACGACTGCTAGCCTTACGACGGCTTGAGTCGCGCGCCAATCACTCGAACAGCGCAGCGTTCGAGCTGGTCGCGTGGGCGAGCGTTTCAGAAAAGGGCCCGCCCAGCTGAAGAGCGCGGCCCGGCCGATCTCGCACGCGGCCCTCGCGCACTTGCACCTCCATGTCTGTGTTCCCTGGGGCCCTTGGTCCCTCGGCCTCCCTCGGGGATCTGTGGCTGGGGGTGCTCCCGGAAAGGCCTCACGAAGAGAGCAAGACTATGCCTCCACTTGGAGCCATCCCCAGGCACTCTGCCTCTGGGGTCGCCCTTTCGGGACAATCCGGACTCTGAGCGCTGGACCATCTGAATCCCGGCCTGTCCGATTCCTCGTCCTGGCATCGTCCAGAGGTTTCTTCGCACCAGTGCTGCCATCAGTGGAGGTTTAGACAGAATCTACAATCCATTCGGGAAGGAGGTGCCGTCTTGTCTTCTTTGGCTAACCCCAGGAAGCATTTAAGAACCCCCCCCTCCGGCAAATCGATAACCCTTCCGCACCCTGGAAGCATTACCTGGCACCAGGAGCCCTCCCTGTCTCCGTGTGCTAAAGCTATCGTTCGGTTATTTCGGCCCCTCGGAATATCGAATAAAAATTGCGGTGCTACGATATCGCCGGGGGGGTTCTTAAATGCTTCCTGGGGCTACGTCTGCTCGCCTCCCTTGCGTCCGAAGGATACCGACGGCCTGCCCTACCAGTCGCGCGACAGCAGGGCGAGACACCTCGAGGCCGCCTCCGAGCCTACGTTTCCCAGCCCTCCTGATCTCCCCTCTCCTCCTCCTCCATCCTCCCTTCTCCTGCCTCCTCCTGCCTCCTCCTCCTCCTCCCTCCTCCCTTCCCCTGCCTCCTCCTCCTGCCTCCTCCCTCCTCCTGCCTCCTCCTCCTCCCCCTGCGCCTGCCCGCCTGCCTCCTCCTCCTCCTCCTGCCTCTCCTGGCCCTCCTTTCCTCCTCCTGCTCTGCCTCCTCCCGTCCTCCTGCCGTCCCTCCTCCTACTCCCTCCCCCTGCCCCCAGGCCTCCTACCCCTCTCCTCCTCCTCCCTCCTCCTCCTCCTCCCTCCTCCTCCATCCTCCTCTGCCTTCCTCCTGGCCTCCTCCTCCTCCCCTCCTCCTCCTCCGCCTTCTCCCTACTCCTCTTCCTCCTCCTCCGCCGACCTCTCCTCCTCCTCCTCCTCTTTTCCTCTACCTCTCTCCTCCGCCCTCTTTCCCTTCCTTCGCTCCTCCCTTTCCCCCTCCCTTCCCTTACCCTGACTCCTTCCCCTTCCTCTCCTCCTCCTCTCTCCGGCCTCCTCCTCCCTTCATCCTTCTCCTCTCCTCTCCTCTCTCCTTGTTCCCCACTCCTCCTCCTCCTCCTGCCTCCTCCTCCCTTCTCCTTCTCTCTCCTGCCTTCCCCTGCCTCCTCCTCCTTCCTCCTCCTTCTCCTGCTTCGGCACTTCGGTCATGGGCCGACTGCCGCGGGCAAAGGACGTCCAGTGGAACGACTCTTGAGATCGCGATCTTGATTGGTTTGTGAAGGAGTGGTTGACTGGATCCGAGAAACGGCTCACCGAAAGTCACGGCATCGAGACTCCCAGAGGTTAGGTTGGGCGCTCCATTTGGCCCCGGACACGCAGTGCACCGTTCGCTGCCCTGCTCGAGCGAGACCCTCGCCGTCGATCCCCGTGTCAGACTACTGCCTGGATCGCTTCCTCCTCGCTGCTTCGGAAGGGCAGAGCGATCGACGGAGGTGACCCTGGGGCCAAGGGTCGGTTTCTACGGGGTACTTGGAAGGAGAAGGTGGGCAAGATGGTATCGGAGCTTGAGTTGGACACTGAAGGCCCGTCCCAGGACCAGCTCTGCGGCGACAGGTCCAGGGGAGCGCATGCTGGATCATGTCCTGGAGCTCCAGACAATCGGCGCTCGTCGCCAGAAGCTGGACGCGGCCTCGCAGCCGGGCCAAGAAACCAACAGCGAGAGGAGGCAAGGCAGCGCACGCCTCCTCGAAACCGCAGGTCACCGGCTGCCGCGCCAGAGGAGGTAGCAGGGATCCTGCTCGACCGGTGGCTGGTCATGCTAAGTACTCTTCACTTGGCATTGCTCGGACGTGTGCGTTTTTTCCTCGGCGAGGACCATCGAGGAGCATCCTTGACCATTTGGCGAAAAAACCACGCACGAAACCAAAAAAAACACAGGGAATGGACGCCCGAGCGATGGCGAGTTGCTGGGCGCGCGGCGTCCGACGCGGCAGGAGGCCCCCCCTTCTTCACACCGGACGAGGTCCCGCCGGACGAGCCCGGCCTCGCCCCGTTTGGCTGCGCTGCCGAGCTGCCGCGGGTGTGCAACACGTGTGGGCCCTGGGCGGGTCTGGGCGGGGGCCTCCTCCTCCTCCTCCTCCTCCTCCTCCTCCTCCTCCTCCGTAGCCATTTTGGCTCAAGGCCATATCGGGAACTCAACCCCCCGACTCAAGTGGCCTGCGCCCGCCGCGCGCGCGCTCGAGGACACAGACGCTCGCCCGAGCAGTCCTCGTGCTATTCCCTTTACTCATTCTCCCATAGCATTTTGCTTACTGTACCCACTATTCCGCGCATCACTCCTGTCACTCCTCTCCCCCCTGCCGCGATGGCCAAGTCTGATGCTCGTGGCAGCTCGGATGACAGCCGTGAGCAGAGGCGCCACAAGAAGGAGAAGAAGGAAAAGAAGCATAGTCGGTCCCGCTCGGACGATCGGGCTCGAGGTCGCCACAGTCGCCGCCACGCCGACTCCGAGGATGAGGCCCCTACCGCGGCCCCAGCATGGCTGGCAGACTTGGTGAAGGGCATCGAGACCACCAACTTCAGAGTGGCTGAGCTGGATGGCACGCTGAAGCATGAGCTCACCGAGGTGAACAACAAGTTGGAGGCGCATGGTCACGCCATCGACGTGCTGGCGAACCGCACCATGAAGCTAGAGCAGCAGGCGCAGGGCTCCCTTGATCGGGCCATGGCTGCTGCCGTCGATGCGAAAGTGAAGGAGCAGATTGCTAACCTGGACACTGCGATTACGGAGCTGAAAAACTCGCGGCCATCGCCGAGATCGACTATTGGCAGTGCCTCTACCAGTGCTTCCTTCCCTTCTGCTTCTGGTCTGCAGTCGAGAATTGTGAAGACACGGAGGTGGATTGGTACGTTCCCACGTTCGCTTACCTGTGTCCAAAGACAGCAGCACTGGGACGCGGTGGTGTTCCCTAGGCTGACGCAGGAGCTCAAGGACGACGCGAAGCTCACGATCTCGCGGGTTGGCAAGAGCTACTCGGTCGACTTCAGTGATGAGGCCATGGCGGAGAACTTCAGTACTCTCATCAGTGGAACGGATATCTCCTGGCGTGATCCTCGGTCTCAGCAGCTACATGAGATACGGGCTCGTGGAGATCTGCCAATCGACGTTCGGGCTCGTCAGCGGGCGGCGTCGCTGGTATGGCAAGGTACTCTTGAACTGCTTCGAGGTGGAGGTCAGGACATGGCTGGATATCGTCTTGGAGCAAACGGATTCCAAGGATTAGTGCACTTCAGTTCAGCGGAGGAGGTCTATGAGCTCTTTTGGATCCGCGGCTGTCCGCAGACGGGCTACAAATACGACCCTGTGATTGACAACTTCAAGCACTGGAAGGTGGACCCTGATGCCGTGCACCACATGCTAGAGCGCATCAGCAAGTCCAAGCACTAGGAAGTTCGTCTACGGGAACATGGCTCATCTTGTGAGGTCAGGCTGGGGCCTGACTGCCGGCCTGAGGGGAGAGGTGCATCTGCTTCGCATCTTTCAGTTGGCCCGCGGGTGCAAGATCAGTGCTCTACGCGTAGGGCCGAGCGTTCCAGTTTTTCTGATCGTAATAATTCACACCTAGAATCGTTGAATGCTAGAGTTTCGAACACCACCAGAGGCCCAGGCCCAGGAGCTTTACAGGACCCTCCCCCCTCCTCCTCGTCTTCGTCCTCGTCGTCGTCGTCGTCGTCGTCCAGTGGCTATCCTGAGGTTCCGTTCCAGGCGTCTACCTGTCCGTTTTCGGCGTGTACCTGGAACTCCCATACGTTATGTGGAAGCATATGGGCCTCACATGCTACTCAGTGTCGTAAGTTATCGTCTTTGAGGTATCTGCTACGCCGTCATGAGATTATACTGATTCAAGAGTGCCACGGTTCTGAGGGTGATCTTTGGGAACTTCGAAAGCGATTTCCGTCCTTTAAAATCTTCGGCTCGTTCCTGGACTCTGAGGCTGCAGGTGGTGTGCTTATTTTTCTTCATGATCGGCTTGCTCAGCACTTCTCTACTTTCTCTACGTCTGCTCCGATCCCTGGTCGAGTTCTCACTGTTCGGTGTGCTGGGCATTCTGGCACGCTAGTTCTTACTTCTGCTCATCTTGACCCTTGCCTGTCTCAAACTAACTTTAAGGAGGCTATTCGTATTCTGGGTGCTTCGCGTCCAATATATTCAGAGGCCACTTGGATCCTGGGCGGGGACTTCAACTTTTACGAGGAGGGAGAGGGCCGTCTGAGGGTCCGTGATGGTCATGTGCATCTCACGGAGGGTCATCTTGCTAGGTACTTCCACGCCCAGTGCCCGAACTTAGCTGAGATTCAGCAAGTGGAGATGACTCACAAGACTGTCCAGGATGATGCAGTGGTGTCTGTTGGTCGCTTGGACAGGATCCTCCTGAGTACTCCCAGCATGGACCTCATTGATTTTAAACCTGTTTCTGGAGTTGTATGGAATATATTCTCAGATAAGATTCCAAGCGACCATACAGCAGTGTTTGTGCGCCTTTCGGCGCCAGAATATGCTACTTCGACCCCGGCTATTCCGAAATGGGTCGCTCGCAGTCCGCAGTTCTGCGAGGAGCTCCGAAGTTTGAATGCCGAGCTAGACGTTGATCCTGATCCTGTGCAGCGTGTCCTGGACCTTAAAGATATGATGCATGAAGCTTCCCGAAGAGTTCGGTTTCGTGCTGAAATCAAGGGCCCTGGCTCCCCTGAAGAAAAATGTTCCTGGATGCTGGCCCTCAATAGGGCCCACCGAGCTGGCAGACAGGATATAGCGTCAAGGGCATGTAGGTCGTATCCCAAGTTGCTGGACTTCTACGACCCTACGGTTATGCAGTGGCATGACTTACGAAGGTTTCACGCTGATTTCTCTGCTCTTACTCGTGCTGAGTTGCAGCGCCAGGAATCTGCGATAGCACTTGATCCCGACTTACATCCATCGTCGAAGGAGTCCAAGCTTACGAGGCTTCGAGAGCTATCCGCAGCATGGAAGCCCAGGTACAGGCAGATCTACCTGCACTCAGTAGCAGATAAGCATGGAGTGCCTTATCAGTCACCCGATGATTCGGCCGCGGCACTTGCCGCACATTGGGGAGAGATTGGGAGGAACTATGAGGTTTCTGAGGCGAGGTTCATGACCCTCGAGCCGTACATCCAGAAGGTTTTAGGTGATGAGGTTTGGAAGCTTTCGGAGGAGAAGTTTCATGAGATGGTCAAGAAAACGAAAGATTCTGCACCCGGCCTGGACGGCGTGCCGTACTCTGCCTGGCGTGCTGGAGGCCCAGAGTTTTCTAGCTCGCTTTATCGCTTGTATGAGCACTTGCTGGATTTTGGTTCGCTCGGCCCTGGCTTCAATCATGGCGTCTCTGCCTTTTTGCCGAAGGGAAAAGAGGAGGCTGGCATTCGAGGGCAGACTCGCATGGCAGACTGCACACGGCCGCTCACACTCAGCAACACCG